CTTCCTTCTAAAGGCCAAGCATCGGGTTGGATCAGCTACAGAGCCAGCACTGCAAGTGTGCAGGGCACAAGTCGCAGCGCAGCAAAAGTCTTGAGCTTCACCTGGTGGATGCACCTTGGCCTGAGGGAAAGCATCTCAGTTAATGGCGAATCCAGATTGGTACACACATCCCACAGTGGCCCAGCACCCCTAGCAAACAGTTGAGGAGCATCCACTAGAATCCAGGATTGATTCAGAAAGGACACGCAGGATGATATGAAAGGGAAATGAGAGGACACAAAATCTATGGTTCAATGATGCTGTCTCACGAAAGAGAACAAATTCAGAAACCCTTGGAACACTGTTTTGGGCAATGGCAATATCTGCTTATATATATAATTACATAGTTTAATGAGTAGTTTAATGAGTGCCTAATACGAGTACTGAGTACTCGCCATAAAGGGGATGAGCTCGCAGTCGTATCATGGCTAAAGGTGGACAAACAATAGGAACAAAAAGCTAGCAAAAGGAACCTCAATGGTGAACCTCGTATAGTTACGACCCACATATCGATTAAAGGTGCCTGGTCAACAAAATAGTATGATGATACAATCTTGGAAAACATCTGTGATGCTCCCACTCTCTTACAGAGAAAGAGCTATATAGAGAAAAGGACCTCTCGGATGTATTTAAGAACTTGCATTAAAACAGGAGAAAGGAAGTCTAATCAAAGCAGTGGGGGTGGTGGATGGGTACAAGTAGGTGGGTGGCTGGCTGGATGGGCGGGTGGCAGTCAGAGTCAGAGGACATTGCTTCAAAGTAGTTCCCGAACTCTCACAGAAAGTTTGGGATTTGGAGGCGTGCAGTGAACACTTGTCATGATTGTATCGCATTGTGCAAACCAAGATTGAACGTTACCTGTGGCACTAGCAACAAGTAGAATGAATGGATTCAGCAACAATTACAATCAATTTAGTACTAGAGGGCCTCGCATATTAATGCGCTGCGGGGGTCCGCCGAACCAAGAGCAAATGCCAAAGTTTGTGTAAGTCAGTGTTGGATGACAAGTCCTCCTGCCTTCCGTTCAGCCCTTGCCGCATAGTTTGCCGCACACGTGACATTCTCACAGGTTTCTGCACAACACTCCTGTGATCTGGCTCAACAGCATCACGTGTTGCAGGGCAAGTATGTAATTGGTCTATCGGAGCTCTGATCAGTTCAGCTTGGCTAGTCAAACGCCACAAAGGCTAAAAAAGTACAAACACCCCAAACGCTGCAAAACAAGAAAGAGCTGCGAGAGAGAGAGAGAGAGCAACAAACGTTGTCAAATAGGTCAAACAATTATGTCAAATAGTTGTTCAACAATGTTCAACCACAACGTTTCCGACATCTCCTCTGCTGTTACTACCCCTGAATCTGCACCTCAACGGTGTTCCCTGCTGAATGCAGCTTCTGCGGGGCCACCTTCAAACAAATCGCACACAAATCGCTTGGAGTACCGACTAGCATCCAATTGTACAAAAACAAGTGCCACAAAAGGCTTCACCAAACACTTGACTCTGCCTGCAAGTGAGCAGGGCATGAAAAGCCTTCACAAGTCTTGTCACAGCATTGCTCTGCAGAAGAGCCCACGTTCGTGGCGTACGAAGGATTGGGCACCTGAAGCCAGGAACGCTTCGAGGTCCGCTCACAAAACTACATCGCTAGTGCAAAAGCTGGATAAGGTTCCATAAGGCCATAAGGTTCCAATCAAGGGGACTGGAATAGAACCAACAATTACTTGTAAGGTTGGGACTCTCGTGCGTCAAGACACACAACTTATATGTAGTTGAAGTGTCAGTCAAAGCCGGACGTGTTTAAGCCACGGTGCAAAGCCCTTGCTGCAAGTGAAGAGCTTGCAGGTCTGCTGGCAACACTCAGCATCGCTGGATCCTTTTCAGATTGGAACAAGTTCTGAAAGCCAAAACCCAACTCTTCAATTATTTGAACCTCCGGAAGCCTCAAGTGATTGGATTGACTCCCTTCCCTCTGCTCCGGTTGCATGACTTGTCCAGTTTCCTTTTCTCACGGTTTCTCCCTCACAACACCTGTTCCACACCTGGTAGGTCGGCATGGTTTGGTTTCGGCGCCCAACCATCGCCTCAGAGTGTTCAAGGGGATCACTCTTGGCGGTTATCCATGGCTCTGAAACAGGCAAGTCGGCAAGTCTAAAACATTGCTTTCCTCAGCACGTTCTACTGAGGTTTGGAAGCGTCTCATCCTCTGACAGGGAAACCTTCAACCTGACCAAGCTGCCACAGGTGTAGTCATGGCAGTTTGCCGTAGCACTTTCCGTGCTGCCCTCCAACTCCTCTTCAACCTCATAGCAGGGACCGAAGAACTACTGGAACAATGAACGCCCACAGACTTTTTGTCCATGCCTAAGCCACTTCTGGCGATGGCTTCAGTGGCCGTTGGCCCTAAACCTACTGTGTGGTTAAAATATGTTAAAATGCTACGTGCAAAGGGAAAAGGATGAACTTAAAAAGTTTATGCAGGGGAAATGACATTTGTCACGAGTTCGTGCTTGGTGAGAAACGTTGAATAAAAGGAACATATCTAAGCTGTACAACAGCGTGCATACTGTACAAATTAGGGAGGTGCTCATAGTATGATGATGTATTTGTGATATGAAGGTCTTGAATTTTCCATGCCGCTTCGAGTTATCAACTCACATTAGAGTTTCCAACTCACGTAGAGCGTTCGTTTCACTCTCTCACACACACACACATATATATATATATCTATTTATTACAAATATAGTCATATAGTGCTCATTTCACAAGAATAGTATCCCTTTCATGGATCAGTTCATTCACATAGGGTGATGGTTTTTGTTTGTGTTTTGCATTGAACCTTGATTTGCATGTAACTAAGGCGTAACAAACACTACTTGGCCCACCCCCCTGAGCACAATGAATCACAACGCTCAATAGACAATTGAGTTAGTGATACTTGGGGATGGGCCTTGTACATCTTCGCATGTGATCTACAAGGGCAGAAAGCCTGCTGTGCTATGCTGTGCTGCGTCAGGTTTCTGAACGGTGCCAAATCTGTCTCGATCCGATTCGCCACGGCGTCGAGAACGGACATATGCAGGCATCGGACCAAGCGGGTAGCTTCCGCTACGGACTTGGATGAAAGCAGCTCCTTGGAAGTGCTTTCAACTGACAAAAGAAAAGAGCTTTCAAGTAAAACATGAGCCCAATTCAATGACAAGCCCGGCCATGTTGGTGATGGGTGCGTCAAGGCCCTTGAACCAATGTGACATTACGTCCATTTGATGCTCTCTCATCTGGAAATCTCAAGTCCTTCGCATCCTTCCTCTGCTCCCCTTGTGGCCTTGCTCAAGCTGTCGAAGCTATGTCCCATTGCTATCCAAGCGGCTTGAAGCTCCAAACCTTCAAGCAGCTCAGAACACATTTTGGCCCTTCCGTTTCCTCGGTCCTCTTTAAATACAGTGCATTTGCGGCACTTTATTGTTCCACGGATTCAACGATGGAAGAAAAAGGCCTAGGCCTACAAAATTCAAACCTTGTAGCCTCATGGACGAATTGTCCACCATTCCCCAACTCTGGGAACTCCCCTCATTCTCTGCGGCAGCACAATGATAGAATACATTCAGACCAATAGCAATCATCTGGAAATGCATATGGCATAGGAAGCATCCCTTGCTGCTCTACACCAGCAGTGTCACAAGCCAATTGATGAAACGCACACACTGGAGCCGTTACCTTGTGTTGTGTGGAAAGGTCTGGCCGAGGAGCTTGCACCCAAGCTTTGTTTGTAGGCCCTTGAGGGCAATGCAAGCAGGACGAGGAGGACCTATCAAAATTGCTCTTCACTTATATATAATGAAAACCGGCATCATACACTTCAAACCTTTCTCATTCTCAATGTGCCAACTGTGGATCAATAATCTGGCTGCAATGTGCGCGGCTCTGCTTAATCCTAATTGTATGTGCACTCTTTTGTCCTCCATCTCTGACAATTGTCCGATTCCGCTTCTTTTGACAATTCCGTGCTGCCGTGCTGCCGACAAAAAACTCTGAAACTAGTAGTGAGAAATGCTCAGGTCATGATTTCTTTTTTGGCGTGCCTTCTTCATTGGGACGAACCTCAGCAGATTCAACAGCAAGCCTCGTCCAAACAACGGCCCCACCTTATTTTTTTCTGCGTCCAAATTGTTAGGAACAAGGCCTGATGGAATAAACGTGTCTGTCGCCCAAGGCTCACTGCTTCCCAGCAAATCCCAGTAGCACACAAGAATGATATACTATATATATATGCATTCTTTACTACATAATTCAACACAAGAATATCTCTGTCCGGTTGGCGCTGAAATCCCCCCAAGTCGTCCGAAAGGCCTTTAACGTGTGGCTCTGTGCAGAATACGGATGCGCACTGAGCACTTGAGCACAAGACCATCACAAATCTGCACAAACTCACCTTGCATGGAGATATACTTTTTTACTTGTATACTTCCTTTCTTCGTTCAGAATCTGTGTGGCCAGTGGATAGTTGAGAGAAGGCTTTCAAAGATTTTTTGCAGTGACATCCCTAACCGAAGGGACAAAGCATCACAAGGCCATGTACATCCACCCACTCCGCTCCGCTCCCACCTGGATTCCGGGCCTCAGCTACAGGCATGCAGAAATATCATTTCTTGCTGACCACCAACAGAAATGAATCAGCTGGAAGTCTTGGGGCAAAGGGCGCAACAAATATGTCTCTCTCCCTACACTGCATCACTGTATGAATTATTGGAAATGGTAGCAAAGAAAGTGCGACACAACACTTCCATTTTCTGCTCTGCGCTGCACGCACATGGCTAGGATGGCTTGCACTAAGCAGCTTATGTCTCGGGCTCTGAAAGAAGAGAAGCCATGACTCACATCTGCTGTCATGTTCACAAGAATCAGCAACTTTGGCCGATGTCACAGGTCGTGCTGCCAATCTCCTCGAGCGGCAAAGTTCCAGTCTCAAAGGTCCTGCTGTTCGTTGCTGTATCATGCTGTATCTGTGAGCTGCTGTGAACAACTCTGGGAATTCTTGCACATGCTTCTGCTTGCACACAACCAATGCTTAGCAAACATATGCAAACAGCAGGTTGCTCTGGGCATTCAGGAGAAGCAAAATGAAGCGAGGCTGATGGTGCTGGCTACGTATGAGCGATGACCAAAACTCTTGGATGGAAACATGGAATAGCTGGAAAGGTATCGTTTGTTATGTTCTGGTACCCTTTTCCTAAGGAACATACCATATTACACCGTTACACGTGGAAACAAGGGACGTGTCTGATACGCCGCCCTGCAACTGCTCGTTTCTTTTTGGTTGTTTTCTTGTCTGCTGATCTTGTGTTGGTATGTGCAATAGGTTTGTTTTAGAAGCGTCTTTGCCGGTGCATGAATCAAATTGCAATGTTTTACCCCGGAAGATGCTTCTATCGATCGTTTCGCTACAGCGACATGCTAATCGTTGTATTCGGCTTGTGCTCTTTGAACATGCTCAACAATTGTTCTGCACGTGTGTTTGGTGCTCCAAAAAATTGATTTGCCGCTGCTGGAGCAAAGCCAAAAAACGACGAGACCTATAATGATGCCAAAACCTGCAAACATTTGCTTTGCTAGACCCTGGCCCAACTGCCCAAGAGTCCGAGTAAAAGCGACAACGACATTCGCTTGTAAGAAGCAAGAGGCTGCTGTTGTTTCTGGATCGCGGCTGATATGCCGCCGTTGTGCCTGTACCCACGTCATGGTTCGGTTGTCGGGTGGCATAGAATGGAGTGGGTGGGGTCATGACAGATTGTGGCGATGTAGGGCCTCAGTTTTACGTGTATATATATATATGTGTGTGTGTGTGTAACTGTGTTTCCCTTGTGGTGTATTACAAGGTACTCCTTTCAATTACCTTTGCTTCTATGCAACATCCAAACCAACTGCAAATACCAATATATATATATAGTTATATATATATAAATCAGGTATATAACGACCTTCAAGTCGAAGGAATACAGTAACACTGTTCCGCAGGACTATTTATGAAACACATTTCGTGTTGAGTTGCAAATGTCGCAAATCCCCGCCCTTATTATATTGTAACTATTATATCATATCCGAATATCGAACCATACCGTGTACTTCATGGCTTGGAAACGGCAGCAAGCAATTCATCAAGAATCACATGCATGTATGCTATACTGTATGCTGCCGAGGCTTTCCATCCAATGTTTGAGCTTCCTACCGGTGCATGTCAACTACAGTATATAAATGTTGGTCCCATCAGCATGTTTGAATTGAATTGCCTAGCCTAGACGTCGCACTCGTGCTTAAACATATGAATCATATGATGACATCATGACATGACCACATGCAATGATACGCGTGAATGGCATCTGGCGTCCAGCTCATGTCCTGAAACCACTTATCCACTTCGCTCCCAGAACTCTTTAGAAAGGTCATCCTGGGTTAGGGCAGTTTGTCCGCCGATGATGCGCACGACAAGGAAGCCGACCATGCCGATGACGTGCCATTTATATACAGTAATTGAGTTTTCCACTTGTGGTCCCTGGCCTAGATTCTATCTTCAACTTGCAACCAAGCATTTTTTTCTCGGAAGCATCTAAAGCAGGATACAACAACAAGGCCCGCACCATGACCTTCTACCAACTAAGTGAAGCCCGTCCTATAGCTCATTTGGATGCACTGCGGTTTTCTGCTGCTGACCAAGGATCTGTTGGAGTGCCTCTTGCAAATCCGAAGGCAACGGAGCCTCCACAGTTGAATGTGTTGGGCGGTCAAATTGCCAGATGTTCAATAATCATTCAATATGAGTTGATGAATAACATCCCTTGAAGCTGAATCCCCAGGGGCAGCTTGACAAACAGTTGAGCCGATGATCAAATATAAAGACATCAGAAGCACTTGAGCGATAGGCTTGAAGTGGATCCCATGGGGCTAACCGAAGGATCACAACAAGAAAAACAGGAAACAAGAAAGCTGAGGACACCCTTTGAACTTAAATGAACCCCAAATGCAAAAGAATTCCTTATTCCTTGGTGTTCGTTTGGTGGCCCCCCCGACCTGTGGCTTGATGACTCGCCCATGGCGATCGTAGAAACTCAATGCATACCGGTGGAGCCAATTACGAGGGCCTGAGTGCACAGCACCGATGGCGAGACCGGACATCAAGGTAAAGGTTTCTGGGTTTTGAGGTGTTCTGATCACAATGTCAGTCAATCTTTCTGGTGCTGTTGCAACAAATTGAGAACAAAACAAAACAACATAGCGGGCTCTTTTTGCCTCACCTTCAATATGCATACTTGTCCTCCACCTCCTTTTTCTTCACAACAAACGAAACAAAACTACCTATCGCGAGGCGCATGTATTGCGGACAATGACATTTAAAACTCCTCATGTGTTCGCTTCTCAATCCATCTGCACCCTGGCAGTGACATCGGCAACTTGTTGCTCAAGGCCTCCCCAAAGACACCCAAGTGAGCCCAGCGGTTCCTCGGTTGCAACCGCCCGCGGCAAACGGCAATTCAACGTTGATCTCGTCGCCACTGAGAGCTCCATGGATCTCCACAGGTTCTGGCACTCTGGGGCTGAAGCAACCTTTGCGCTTCACACCCTGAACAATTATAGTGAAATTCGTGCTTTCTGCTGCTCGCACCTCGCCCCAATATTCATGCTCCCAAGCAGCTCCTTGTTCGTATTCATCGTAGTCTTCGTCTTCAGAATCCGAAGTGATCTCTGACTCATGCATCCACACTGTGCACTTGCCATCACCAAATTTGAGGACAATTTCAGCATTTGTGTTCAACCCAGCAGGGGCGTTGCTGTCATCATACTCCTTCGATTGAAATGTCCCATCTGGCAACGGAGAGACTATGAGGGACAGGAGCTCATCTTCTTGAAGAGCTTTCTCAAGCTTCACTGTATCATCTAGAATTTCTGTTCCGTGAAGAATTCTCATTCCTCCAGGTGCAGTTCCCAAGGTTGCCTGAAGCTTGGCTTTCAAGTCCTTGACACTTTCGTGCGCCTCAGCAGGTACAATGACCTCCTCGCCAGCAGGTGTCGCAACCCTCAGCATTTGGTCTGGTATGGGGGGGTGCTCGCGTAGCAGCCGTAACAGGCCAAGTAGAAAGCTGGAGCCCTGAACAGCTACCAAGGCATTCTTTGGAGATATCTCAATGATGCAAAGTGCGCGCAATCCCTGCCACAATTGCCAAAAAGCACGGTCTACAAAAAAGGTTTGCGCACCACACCGTGGCACTATACATACACAAATGCAGTATCCCCAAAATCCTACCAAAACTAGCAATAACTGAGTGGCGAATACACATTCGTGAGGAAATGCATTGTGCTAGTGCCCTGTGCCCTGCAAGCTCATTCAAGTCGAGCAGCTAATATTCAGGTCTGCCTTATATACCGTTGCAGACGCATAAAGGCCATCTGAAACCTTGGAAGAAGAACTGAAAGGATGATGGAAGCTCTCCATAAAGGCTTGTATGGGCGGGTCTGAATTCCATCCGCCAGGCAACAGTTGGATGTCCGCTGTGGCTCAAATGGCTTCGTATCTGGTGCCGTCTCCCAGTCAAGATCTCCAGGTGAACCAATGAAAATGCCATCATGGTGGTGAAATGAATCAAAGGTAGGGTGGCCATCACCTCAATCAGCATACGCTGGCAAGCAGCCTTCATCTCTATCTCTCTCTCTCTCTCTCTCTGTCTGTGTCTGTGTCTGTCTGTCTTTCTTTCTGTCTTTTTCTTTTTTAATTTCTGTTCTGTTCTTTTCTTTTCTTTTCTGTCTGTCCTTTCTTTCTTTCTTTGAGCTGACAGGGGGTATTGAAACTACTGTACGGACCACTGCATCTTTGGCGGTTTGGGCCTTTGATTGGTAGGGAGCGGTAGCAGTACATTGTCTTGCCGCTTGACTCTGCTAGTCTGATCGACCACCTCAGGCCCCGGCTTTCGTGCAGCTAGCTTTCCTCACTTGCATGAGTCTGCAAACTCACTTGCAAAGCCCTGAACATAATTCAGCCTGCCAAACCTATGACTTTCATGTATTTTGCGTGGATGTCTGCAGCCACTGGAACTATGCCAACTACGCTTGAGGAATGAAGCGATTTCTTGAGGAACATGGCTTGATTCACCGGTTCATAACTCAAGGCCAGACTCCCACGACCACCTGCCACAGTGGGTCCATTCCCCCACCAAAACAGGCTGGCCTCCAGAACTATCACATGAAAGCGCAGGGCTCTTTCATTTCTACCGTTGCTACAGGTTCCAGCATTACTTACAGTAATGGTGATTTAGCCACCGCAGCGCCACAGCCATTGGAAATTCGGCGCTGCTGTGATGCAACACGAGCAAAACTGCAGCAAAACCCTGCCTCGTGGCAGCGTGGCCGTAGCCAGCCATGAGCCATCGCCACATATCTCCGCGACATATCTGTGCAAAGCTGCACCTAAAGGGGGGGTCTTCAGTCTTTTCTTGAACAGCTTGCGCCAAAAAGGCGGCACATGACGCCCCTGCCCAGGCACTTGCAGATCATAGAAAGCTTCAAAGGTTTTGGCCACAACCTCATGTTTCGGTTTCTCAACTCCGCATCCCATTCAAATTCATTCAGCTGGCTAATCTCCAAACTCTACACAAATCTAGAACACATGTCAATCATTTGCCACGTATTGTGAGGCAAAATCCTGGAAGGTGACAACATCTAAGTGCCCTGACGATCTCAAGAGTAGCACAATTGCACAATGAACAGGTTGGTCAACTCTCTCTCTCGGATATTCAAACACGTACAATGCAACTAATTCCTGAGGCTTTTGTCGTGGGTTCCATATAAACCTGGGCATTGGGAGCGCAGTCTCCAGTCTCCGAGCGGCCACCAAACCCGAGCTGGGCACATCCAGGCGGTGCAGAAAACCCCGACGATGTTTGGAGTCGCTGAAAATGGGCCAAGGCCCAAAGGCCTCAAAACCCCAAACCATGGAAACCAGGATGGAAAAAGAATGGAAAGGATGGAAACATATGGAAACCATTAAATGATATTGAACGTATTCCAGGTGATGCGAAAACTTGTCGCAACTGACCACAGCGGATCTCCCTTAGTTGTCAACAGTTGTCGCCACAGTGGCTCGTTTGGGGCATGGTTTGTGCTTTTCCATGGACGCTTCTAGATTAGAAGACTGCAGTACGTGGGTTGTGCAGGTCGATAGCATCTGTCTGGTCTGTTGGTCTCAACAGCAGGCAATGCAGGCAATGCAGCACAGGGGCATCCGAAGCGATGTTGCACAGCTGCTTTTCTTCCACACATTGGTCGTAGACATCCCATCCTGCTGCAGTCTGCTGAATTCCAATCATGAATACTAGGAACAAGAAGCTACTAGGGGCTCCTGGCCTTACTACTAGGAGCAAGGACGCTACTAGGGGCTCCTGGCCTTACTACTAGGAGCAAGGACGCTACTAAGGGCTCCTGGCATCGCTACTAGGAACAAGAAGCTACTACACCCCAAAGGTGGAATCTTGTCTGAAAATATGCTCACGACAAACGGCAACGGATTGATATGGATTGAAGCAGGACTCAGGTCCTGGTGGCTTCAAAAGGACCGCTCGATCAGGGAGGTCTTGAATAATCAACTCTGACCTCTCAAGGGGCAAAGGGCGCCTCCTGCCAAAGGCTCGGATCTCCAAGGCTCGGTTGCACACTCTCTCTCTCCCTCTCTGCTAGAAACAAATGGTATCGCTACTAGGAGCAAGAAGCTACTAGTAGCTCGTGGCATAATATACTACTAGTAAAGAGAAGCGACTAGCAACGTATATACATCTCTCTCTTTCTCTCTCTCTCTCTCTGCAACCGAACAAGGTGTGCACTAAACACTGCTGCCCCCAAGCCATGCTGCCACCATGATAGCAATCGCATACTGTACTGTAGTCGCTAGAGCTCTTGCAGCAACAAACTTATATAAGGTTTGCTGATTAAACTTGCAACCACGAAGCAACAATTGACGCTGTCCTCAATGGCAATTCCCTTGGAACTGGAGCTGCAGCAATTTTTAGCCAAGACCGAACAATTGCCACCATGCGCCTGTGTAGGCAAGATTGCATCTTGAGCTCAGCCCACACAAGTCCAGACATAATTAAACAGCAATAACTCACGTAACTCAATATATATATATATATAACTCCCAAACACATCCAGGTCCAAACCAAATCACAAGACATCCCAAACCACGATCTTATCAACAGTCTGCGCATCAGCATTACCTCATGCCAAGACCGGTCCTCATCTCCTGCCTGGAGGTGCAGTTCAAAACTCTAGACACCCACAGCACTCCCAACACGCTCTCAGCGGCCTGGGCGTGGCATGGGTTTGGGCTGAGCAAGTGACTGAGTGGTACATGGGATGATGTGATGGTTGAGCAGTGACATCAAAACTATGCACCCACAATATTTGATATTACTTGATACTGAGCTGGCATCTCCAATAATCATCAATTAAGGGACAATCAAGGGAATATGACGAGGATCAATGTGCTGCCGCTTCAGTACCATTGTTACCTAACCGGGGTCCAAAGGAATCAAACCCTGGCAAGAACACCCAGCCTCTTCAAACACTCCAACATCTCCTGTCTTCAATCCTAAGGTACCATCACACAATGCTGTTCGCAAAGCATCGCATGTTGCCACGTGTCATGCCTGCTCATCGGGGACGGGTGATACAAACCACCGCCAACTCATCACCCCACATCCCCTTGTGCCATGTCGTGCCCAGAGTCGTGCAAGGCAACATTCTTGGATGGCTGGTAGGATAGTGGCAGATGTCCAACCCAGTGCAGCGGCGACCTGGAGCTATACCAAAGCTTCGAAAGCACTTTGGTTCCACCATGTTCCAGCTGCCTGCACGAGACATGTGTAACCCAAGAACTTGTCCCTGTGATGCTTGGCAACTTGCTTCATAGGTCACGATTATCCATTTGGTATTCTCTTTGCACTTCCAAGACAGGCAAGACTGCGGCAAGACACCGGAATGCACAAGACTTTTAGGATTTGGAGGATTCAGTGTCCCAAATAATAGGATTTGGAGCCGACCGCTTCGACTGTTCATCTGTTTGGCCACAGGCACTTGCAGTTGCTGAAGTGACATCTGAGGCAAGACTCTCCTGAAACAGCCGAAACATAGCCATTCATCATCATTCATCTATCCGTTCGTCTCTGTCCAAGAGCAAATACAGGGGCCAGTGCATCGGAGTAGACAAAATTACCCACACAGAAGGTGCACATGAAAAGTTACTGGACTGCCGGACTGCCTATGCAATATTATCAGCAGCAATCTTTCAAGATCCCACTGCTGCACAACTTGTGCCCATTCAATGGCAATTCAAGAGCCGTAACGTCCTTACGCTCTTTTCCAATCTCTTGGACAGGGGCTTGCAATCAATGCCGAGTACGAGCGATGCGCTGCAAAGCTGAAGAGTCTCCTGGTAGCTGGATCCACCGGGGCTTGAGGTCATAAGCTCGATCCACATGGGATAGCAATGATCAAATAATGAGGATATAAACCTTCTGATCCTTCTGATACGACCTACAACTGGCTTCACCCCCCCAGGCCTGCATGTTGAGAAGACCTTCTAGCCGCAGCACAGGAAGCAAAGCAGCGCTTAAATGCCATGGGTCCTTGAATCGAATGACTCCACTATGTGGCTTCTTGAGAAGGAGGCCTGCATTGCGGCATTGTTGAAAGAGGGCAATAACCACGCACAGGTACTTTCTCACAAAGACAAACCACTTATTTTCACGTGCCCTTTTTGAATCCAAACATTATGCTCATTCAACGTGCATAGAAAGGCAGCAAGGCAGCCGAGAAGCGGAGCCATAGATTTGAGACAAACACCACAAAGGGCCCACCTAGAAAGGATGGGCCAGGAAAACCGGAAAAAGGTCTGTGCATCTGGTCTGGATCGGGCGACCACAGATTTCTCTTTATCGCCGTAGTGCTCCTGTGAGCCGCGCGCCGTGAGCAGCCAAGCTGCAGGCCCACACATCTGCATGGCCAGCACCATAGCTATTTCTTGTTGCCCACATGCCGCGCATGCGCGAGCAGCGTCCAGTTTAGCTTGATTGGAATGCACCTGACACAAGGCCAGCCCAGCTGACAAATAGCAGTTGCTGCCATGATTGTTGTGAGATATGTAATATATGCTTATGTTCTCGTAATACGTCGTGTAGCCTGTACTTGTGCGACCTCGCCTCTGCACCCTGCATGGTCCGCAGAAATTGTAAAGTTTCTTCCCACTGGTCTGCATGCCTTGGCCAGGTAGGCCAACCAAAAACTCAGGATTCCCTCTCGGAGGTGGCCAAAGAAAGGTGCGGCAGGGGCAAACAGGTGAGAAAACTTGCTGTTGTGGTGGTGGTTGTAATTGTCGTTCATGTTGCTTTTGTTGTTGTGGGGTTGCAGTAGGAGTAGTAGCAGGAGTGGTAGTGGTAGTGGTAGTGGTAGTGGGAGTGCTAGTAGTAGTAGTCGTCGTAGTCGTAGTCGTAGTCGTAGTAGTAGTAGTAGTAGTAGTAGGTAGTAGTAATAGCAGCAGCAGCAGCAGTAGGAGTAGTAGTAGTAGTGGTAGTAGTAGTAGTAGTTATAGTTAGGAGAAGTTAGTAGAAGATAGTAGAAGTTAGTAGTAGCAGCAGTAGTAGTTGTTGTGGTGGTGGTTGTCATTATTAGCAACAAAGCCAGAAACAAAAATGCAAATAATGCATCTCAACTTGGATGGCATACCTCGCACCTTGGGACTATCTCCAGCCATCTTGAAGAAAGGGGTCGCCCTTGCGAACATTTTACTGTATTTGCATTCGGACACCTTTGCAACTAGCCCCAAGCAGCGCAGCGGTTATAGTTTTTTGTTCATTCGGCATATCTTCCTCGATAGAACTGGTCTAGAATAGGATATAAAGTCATGGCCAACAACTTGGGCTACAGTGTTATTCAGTCCCGGCCAGGTGCTCCCACCTGCAAAAAGAAAAGTGTCTTCAAGAAGACAAACAACACCACAGAGGTTAGTTTAGACAAGAGTCTCGCACAAACGAATTGAAGAGCTATGGGTGACCAAGTCTGCTTGAAGGGAATGTTCGAGGACTGCTCCTCGGATCAATTGGCTCAAACAACATCAAAATCGTGCCTTCGTGCACCAAGTGTACCATGGTCTGACCATGGTTCCTTTGTTCCTTTCTGAGATCAGGAACGTGACACTTGGTTCACATGATCCATCCAAGTGTCGCAATGCTTCCATTCCTTGCTCCCAAGCCAGGCCTGGCACCATGCCATACATGCAGTAAATATAATCACCAACCAACAAGCCTTCGCCTTCGCCATACGTTTGGCCTACCAGCAGCTAACAGCAAACGCAAAACACGTCAGTTTAAGTGTCTTCTTACTTGTCCAAAACCTGACACATTCGCTATGGCGTGGTGTCCGAAAATTCGCCGGGTAAGGCCAGCCGCCTTTCTCGCATGCACTGATGGCGGAGTTGAAGTGGATGACTGATAGGCGAAGCTTTGCTTCCCGCTGTTCCTGCAATGTCTTAGGAACAATCCCAGCTACAGTATTATATATATATATCACCTACAAGCGGATTCTTGGAGATGTTTGTCTACGCTGAAACCTCTGCACGCAAACTACATTCCACAAAAAAAGGGCAACATTGATCATTGAAGACAACACTGCAGCTGCATTCACAAACAACGTTCGGAAGTCCGGGAAATCTCCGAGCAAAGGTTTCACACAGTGCCACTATGTCTTTCCAACATGTCCAACCTTCCAGCATGGCTGTGTTGGCTGGATCCACTTTTGCATACCTTTGCTGTTTCCACCCATGCCTGGAGAAAATGGAAAGCCAAAGGCCACTGACCCTCATCTTCGCAGGCGCTGATGGCCGTGCCAAAGGTCACTTCTGTCGCTTGTAAACTTCGACCTGGACGAGAAAGCTTCTTCGATTCGAAACACCGTCTAAGAGCACTGATGTGGATGCATCCGTCCTGGCAGAATTATTGACTGAGCAGCACACATTTGTGGACGCACCATGGGTCCATGAGTTGTGTTACCTCATTATCTCCATTGTTGCGACGGGATTGAGATATTAAAGTTACTTGAAGTGAGCCATATCAAAACCCGGCCTGGAAAACTCTGCAAAACGTGCAGAGCCAGCCGCCATTCCTTGCCCATTACACAGGCGTGCATCAGGCTACTCAAAGAGACGACATCTAAAAGCATGTGAGCTCCTTCCATCTCCTTCCAGACGCATGCGGGCAGCTACGCAAGTATTGCCATCAAAGCAAGACCTTCTTGCAAAAAAGATCAAAAAAGAAGCTCTTTCGTATCCTGTGAAAGGAAACATGTAAACAAACACTATGCAAGTCCGAGACTGCTGGTGAAAATGAAAAGGGATTTTACATATAGCTCTTGTTGTTAAATGTATGTATATATAGATATAACCTAACTTAACTATATACTTCAGGTTGTGGCTGCAATACATATACGAGATTATACGAGGACATGACAATGCAAGAAACAGCATCATATAACCATCTCAATAAACACAATTTCACAGTTGTGCCCAATGTGAATTGCTGCCGAACTTAGGATGGCAGGTGGACGTTCGTTGAGAATTATTGAGGATTGGATCGTCTCCTCCAAGATTTGGCCTATGATCCGCCACCGCCCTGAACTCGCACATGAGCTCATAGCTGAATTGTAGACCACGACGTTGGCTTCAATAGCCTGTCAGGGCTCCAATCCACAAATTGTGGCACTAACCTCAAGCTCAGGCATCCCGTGCTAGGCACAAGGCTGTTGATCAACAAATCCTTTTCTAGACTCTCTCCCAGTGATCTTGGGTGGAGACTTGAAATGATGTTGAACCGTCCACGGTTTGAACAGCTGCCTTTCCTTGTAGGTCATGTCTTGCAAAACCTGCAAGGCAGCTTCCCATTTAGACTCGCAGGAAAAGACCGCAGCCCCATAAGTGACGACGTTCAGCGGAATCATCATCGCCTCAAAACTCACGCTTCTGTGACGTGCAATCGCCTTGATTCCATCGAGGCTGAGCTAATGAATGCTCGAGTCTCCGCTTGATGCAAGCAAGGCACGTTTGCCTGTTGAAGCAGGGTCAAAACAGCATGCCAAGCCTTCGCTTGAGAACAGGCCAAAATGGCTGCCGATATGGTGTAGGCGTCCGCATTCTCTTTACTAAGCCTGTGCAGGAAGGTGATCGCTTCTTGCCATTGGAATCCTTGACCCCAGGACACCATGGTCGCGGTGGAGAGAAGCACCTCCTGCAAAAGAAGTGGCTCGCACGCACGGCATCGCACAACAGAGTTGGAATGCAAGCTGCCTATGCTTCGGTGAAAAGCCAAGCACCTGCAAAGGCCCTGAGCATGTCACTATACGTCGCTGTGCTGTGCAAACCACCTTGACCTTGGCCTATGACTTTCGATGCAATGAACTGTGTGCAATACAAAGGCTTACCCACCAATCAAATTGGAGTCAAGCAAGGATGCTACTAGGGGCTCCTGGCCTTACTACTAGGAACAAGAACGCTACTAGGAGCAAAGGGCATCGCTACTAGGAGCGATCGGACGCTACTAGGGCAATGCGCTGTCCGTAGGACGGCGAAGCAATCGGTCTCTTGAGCAATCAGCGTGAAACAAACATGGTAAATGATTGACACACCCCTTGGGGAGTTCTACGGGACACTATCAGCACTGCCCCACCAAACAGGTGAGCTGAGGTATGGTCGGTGATATTGGCAAAAGCCAAGATAATGTGAATTAGGCTGGAGTGCGGAGGTATGTGCAGTCAGGGGTCACATAACAAACTTGCATAATACTATGTTTGAATCAATCGAGTTGAACTTGTCAGAGATGCAACTAAGCACAATGAGGGATGAGTGGAGTGAGGGCGAGCAGTTGAAGTTTACCTATAAACCATCTGTCTATATCTATACAAAAGTATGTTCATTATAGTCTTTCCCCCTCTCTCTCTCTCTCTCTTTCTCTCTTGCATTTGAAAACACAACGCACAATATTACAGTATATACTGGTTCACCAAGGTAATCGGTGTACCGCACAAAGGAGTTACTATGGGTTATTACTTGCTGTGGGTTTATACTATGCATATATATATATATATACCGACGCAAATGTGTATATCAATATACACATAAACAACGCGTTGGGTCATGTTCACGTTCATGGAAGATTGGACGATTTTCCGCTCAGGTCTGCACCGTCCGCACGAAACTTTGCAGGAAGTGGAGGGCATCTTGCCATTCCATTGATTCTGCCAGAGCTGAAGTTGTCGAACTCAAAGAAACCTCCAACAAGACAAGAAAACACCTTAAACCATCTTAAAACTAAAACCGTGAAAACACCTGAAGACCAAACAAAGGGATAACCCACCCATAAAACATCTGCTACAGGTGTTGGCAGCTATCGGATTGTTCCTCATGCTGCAAGCATGCCACTGTGGCGACTTGAAGGCGTCTGCTCCGTTGTTGGCTCAAGACACGCAATACAGCAGGCCAATGATCCGTCCTGGCAGCACTGTAAGGTAGCTCGCTGAGACCATTCTCCTAAGGAGCGTCGCTCAGTGACAACTAAAATGCAAACTTCCTCGCTACATAAGTAAAGTAAAGTCTTACTCACTCTTGGGTGGAGACAACCTCGTATGGAGATGAGCCCCAGTGACCCGATTCTTGAGCTCAATAAGCTGATTCTATTGAAGCTTGCCACGAGCGGGCTGCAAATATGAGGGTCAAACCATTTTGTGGTGGTGACTACTCACTATTTGAGTTCTGCAACCCCCGGCTACTACAAGATCCACATCTGCTTCTGAGGCTCTGTGACCATGTTCATGGCTTTTTCCCAGAACTGCGCCCTTTCGAAGGCACTTAGAAGCCACTTGAAAGAAACCTCGTCTGGCTCCAAAAGCCTTGCAAGCATGGGATGGCAAGCTGCTGGAGTCCGGAGGACGATCACGGAAAAACAAATCAGCTGAGAAGCTGTGTCCTGATCTGCTTTAGCATATGGATGGCCATTCCTTGCCAGTAAACACTCAAGCTTAGAGGCTTTGAAGTTCAAGTAGCTTCATTCCAAAAAAAAGTGGCCTCCACTCAGCAACAAAGCAATACCAAAAAGCAGCATTGCATGATGACTTGTCTACCACCACTGTGATGTCTGTAGTGCCACGGGTCTCCACGTAGCGGAGCGCGCACATGCACTCAATGCCGTGTTCAGGGCAAAGAGTGCCGAATCTGCGATTGAATGGCTGCCAAGTGTCAACCTGACAAGGCTCGCCACATGCTCGCCACACTGCCCCTGACTCTTCTCTGCCATAGATCCTACCAAGCCTACCTACATCCTTGTAGAAACTGACCAGCCCATCACCAGCCTAGACAGGTGAACGGCTTCTTCCCACCGACTGGCACGCGCGCAAGCATCGATGGAGGTGTTGTAACTGATGTGACTGGGCTGCAACCTCCTGGTTCAAACTACTCATTCCATGGACCAAAGTGGCATGGTGCACAAGCTCACAAAACCCGACACATCATGATCTATATTTGATCAAACTGCGTGGTTTCTGGCAAATCCATAACAAAGTCCGCCCACCCTGCAGCATTTGGTTTGGAGGCGAGGGCTGAGTTGAATATAAACAGAAAAGTGTGCCAATACCCATCTTCAAAGCCTATCGCACTGAAATGCAGTCAGTACGTGGCTTTGGCCTCTGCGGGTCCACCTACATTAGGACCTACATTAACAGTGTGATGAACACCGGATCATGCGCTGCAGTGGTCATGTGTTCAATATTCAGCACCAAGCCAAGTGTTCAACTATGTTCAGTTCATGGGCTCGGTCCTGACACCCAGCTGATTCAGCAAAGATAGGGCATGCTGCCAACAAGCTGCTTTGCCACAAGCATTGATCGCAGAGTTGAACGTCACCAAATCCTGGGTGCCAAATGCACCATTCAAAGGCCATGCAAGATGTTGCAGGCACCGAGCGACATAAACATCGGATGCTGGGGCTATCTGGGGGTGGTAGTCAGTCACTTCTACGGCCTCCAACCTAATAGCGATGGCCTCCAACATGCGGCCTGCACACTTCAACTCTTTGGAATGAAACACTACGATGCTTCAGAGATTGCGTGGACAATGGACAAGCGTCGGCATATGCAGCAGCCTTCTTCAGGAGGACAATCGCACCCCGCCAGTTCGATGTCTGAGCGCATGAGTGAATGTCTTTGTTGCATTCCTGACACGGAAGAAATGCATTTCTGCAATGTTATGGAAATGTACGGGCCTCCTAAAGGCTGCATTCTGTCGCATTGCAACACACTGTCATGCCAACGTCATATAGCATAAAGAGAGACAATTATGCAATGCATGTCACGGCCTAGTCCAAAGTCTGCTTTTCTTGCACTACATGTAGTTTGTCGTCATAGTTTGCCTGAATGCTTCCTGTCCCAGCCACCTGTAGCCTCTCGTGACGTTGAGGCATCCATGGCAAGGCAGCTCATGTGGGCCCTTGGGCTTTCGAACCAAATCCTCTCTTCACCAATCCACGAGATTGGGGGTAATTCGAGAGGAGGCAATCAATACACAAGCATGTTGAATTGCCAATGTCGAAACAACATGGCATAACATGTCATATTCATGTTGTGACCTGTGCCGTGGCTCGGGTGGCCATATATATATATAATATATCCTACAGCATGCATCTGACTATATTGACTATATGCAAATGCTCACAAAGCACTCTGGATGTCAAGTCTTAAACAGCCAACCATGCTGAGCGAGGCTCTTGAATCATATCTCTTTTGTTGCGTGGCCATATCCTCTCAGATCTCTGATCGTAGGCCTGCCCAACAGCCTTTTCACCCCAAAGCCACGCAGAATGATGCTGTCTTCTCTTCCAACCTTGGCGATTCTTTCGGCACATGGAATTTTCCACATTGACCTTGAAACTTTTGACCCTTGATCAGCGCGATGAAGACCCGTGCGTGGCACGTCGCCACACAGCATGCTTCACCATCTTCTTGAGCTTTGTCAGAAAGGATGCAACTTACTCATGGAGAGTAATGGGCAGGAGTGAATGCTCCCAAACATCTGGGTCCAGCTCATGTAACTTGAAAAGTCCATGTCAACCGAAGCTTGCTAGACATGCTCCGGGCCAGTCAAAGCAATCCTGCTTCAACAGCGGTTCCTGTAAACTTACACGCATGCTCCATCACACTGTCCGTGTCAGAGTCTGACCGCTTACAAGCAGTCTCTGCGGAAGATTCTGATTCATCCGGTTTGCAGTGGTTTCTCCACAGCATAGAGCTCCATCTCTCTATAAAGACCTCGGACGTGGATTGATTTGGCCAGAGGGCTTCAGAAGGTTGCAGTCGAGCATCGTGAAGCTTGTTGAAATTGAAGACCCTTCTCCTGGGTTCTCTTGACCCTCGTCAATTCGATCAAATCCAATCAAAGGCCTACCCTCGCTCCTTCAAACACCGTTCACAAAAACCTTCAAGCTGTTCACGTAGCGCAGAAGACATCTTGATTTCAGGCATGAATGACTGTAGCCGAGAGTCGCAAGCAGAAATGGCAGCAGAGAAGGTGATGGAGTTCGGGTGCAGGTTGGCCCTGCATAGTTCCTGCTCACGCTGCCACCGGACGTCTGGGTGTTCACTGCTGGCATTTCAGTGAATATTTGCCCTCTTCATGTGTTCCCCAACTACCTGCAGTTTACCATGCAGTGCCAAGTTTGTTGGTATAAAAGATTGAGAATAGGCCACATACACAACAGTCGTGTGCAAAAGCGCATGCAACCAGGCAGGCCACCACCGAACCAAAAGGAGAGGGTCGTCCAGTCGACTGGAACTGCACAAGTCACCTCAAAGAGCACTCCTGAAAGAGCTGCAGTGTTTTGCCCCACTTTTGGCTCTTTTGGCACGAGCTTATTGCGGCGCTGTAGGTAATCACATCTGCCTGCGGAGAAACTCGGGAATCTCTCACCGGATGCCGTTTCCTGTTGCTCAGGAGTTCCTCCAAGAGAAGCTGAGACAAAGATATTCAAGGTCCGAAACTTTGGCTTTCCGGGCTTTCAGCTGAATGCGTGGGAAATTGTGTGAGCAACTCTGAAAAGATGAGCTCAAAGGCCTTGCAATGCCTTGCAAATTATGAAAATTACGCCTATGGAATGTCTGTTCTAGAGTGCAGGTGATGGTAGATGGAAGCTAGCAAACGAAACACATCCTCCTCAGCTTCCACTATCACAAAAAGGCCTGAAGTTGTTGCCCAAGCATGTTCGAGATCAAGTGCAACACATCTGGCCACTGGCTGCCTCCAGCAAAGCTCAAAGATGCATGGTGTCAAAGCAAGCAACTTTACCGAAGGCACATTTCGTGACCGCTTAAACTGGCTTAAACACTACCGTTTTCGACCTACATGAAGAAGGAACTATCCCTCTCCCTCCCTCCCTCCCTCCCTCCCGCCCTCCCTCCCTCCCTCCCTCGCTCTCTCTCTCTCTCTCTCTGTCTCTCTCTCTCTCTCTCTTTCTTTCTTTCTTTCGCCTCAAGCTGCTACTGCTAGCTGCAGTTCTCATGGCAAAGAGTGCCTGCTTCTAGACTGGGTTTGCGAGTCTCATTTTGTTCTGGCTCCCGATGTGAACACATGGCAGTGACACAGCTTGCCAGTCGCCATGCCTTTCTCGCATGCGCTCAATGCAGCGTTGCACACCATACTGCTGCATTGGAGGTGGTTGGACTGCAATTCCTGCCAGGACAGTTGGGACAATGCAGTGGCAATTCCATCAGAGAGACTTCTTGCTGAGAAAGAAACATTGCTGTGTGGTAGGTGCAAGAGGTAGTTAATGCCAAGACTAGACCTTATTCTTATTCTATATTCGTTCTGTGTCTGCTGGGTTTATTTTTGCACTCTGATCAGAACTGCCACACAATGACCAACAAATCCTTCGTGCATGTGTCATGACCCACGTTGTCGCAAGAAAGCACATACATATTGAACGCATGGTGTCCTCCAACGGTGTCATGACCACACCTTGTCGCAAGAAAGCAAATACATATTGAACGCATGGTGTCCTCCAAGCGTTAAGCCTCGATGTTCCGTACATCTAAAATGTAAAATACTAATTACATCTGATTTGTGCTGGTAGCAAACCGTCTGCATGACGCCGTACGAAGGGTATCCTGCAAAAGTCGCAAGGCAATCTGCCACTGCGCTCCTGCCAAGGATATCCATGGATGCCAGCTAAACCAAGAAAGGATACTTGTGCAAAGAACTGACCGTTGAAAGCATTGTGGCGTTTACATAGTGTTCCAACGTCATTTGTGACATCACGTTTTAGGTTCCTTTTTTTGGACTATATCACCTAACCTCTGGAGGGATTGGCAGAAACATAGTTCCCAACATCATTTCCAACATCACTTCCTACATCCTAAGTAGCTTCACCTCTGGGCCTCTGGGTATGGCAGAAACATAGCGGTAAGGCGGCCACAAACGGAGCTAAATGCACCAATGATCGGCAAACAGTCAGCAAACAGCTCAAGGACTCAAAGACTTAAACATTCTTCAAGAAATGCTTGGGCAGCTCCTTCTTGCGATCACTTCCATGTGTGCAGCCAAAAATCAAGTTTTCTGTGGTGCTTGCAAAGGACTGGAGATGCCAATGCTGAAAAAATAAACATACATTTACGTATATATATATATATATAGACGGCTTACCGCAGAATCCTGCAAAACGAACTGATTTACGTTATGACTGGCCAAATATGTAACAGGCCAGTTTTCAAGGTTGAGTTTTTATACAATTTTATATGATTGTGATTGTGATATGGTTTTCTTGTGGTCCAGCCACCCAGGCCCTCCTGCCCCCCAGAACAGCAAATCACTCAGCAAATCATACTGTATCTAAATCATAACCAAACCCAAAAATACATATATACATGCTTCTGTCCCACCTTAGCCAGTCTTAAGATTGGCGACCATTCTTTCGTATTTGCACTGATCTATCACTTTAGACTTCTTGGGGTGCACATCCCAAGATACAAACAGCTATAAACGTGACCCACCTGCCTCTTTCACAGGCACTGATCACTGCGCCAAAGCTCACAATGCTGGGCCGCTGAGTGTAACAAAGCTCCTGAGGTTTGTTTGGACCAATTGAACTGAAACACATTGCAAATCATGATGTCTGCATCTTCCACTGCCATCAGTATTTCTCAAGGTTTCGACACCGTTCATGTTCAGCGCTCAAAGAACACACACCTCAGAGTTAACACCGTACCTTGGCACAGAAACAAGGGTGCTTTGGCTCCAGTCCTTGAATAGGCTCAAAGCCAGTTGCCACTTAGACTCCCAAAGCTCATCGACTTCCCCAAAAGCAGCAATGGCCTTAGACATTTCATGGCATTCCACATGGATGAGTTGCGCCTGACAAAAACACAATGCAAAGAAACCCCTTTGGCAAAGTCAACAGCGCACCCGCAAGGAGAACCGAGACGGACATAAAACAGCTACAACAAACTCCACCAACTTTGCCCTGCGCACAACAGGGAGCATTCAACATCATCGCGTCTGCCAGTGTTGGGTTCGGCAGGCTAATTAATTTGTGATTGGGTGTGAGTATATATCTGGCAATGTGTCAAGCTTTATCCTTCACAAAGGGGCCATGTGCGTGAAACAAAAACATGTTTGTTTGTGTTGCATTGTTTTCAATTTGTTGCGGTGGTCTCGTCAAAACGAGGACTGCCAGAATGCGACTCAAATGGGTTTTTGCTCAGCGGTGACAGCGGTGACGACTTCCCAAAAAAACCTAAGAAGCATCGGATTCATGTTTACCAGACTTAATTTGCCATGGTTACTCTTTGAATGAAAGGTGCCTATTCCTCCTGATGGAATTTACGTTGTGGATTGAACACTTCCTATAGCAACTACCGAACACATAGTTCAGATATACAAATGATATAAGTTAACACCAGCCTCCACACCAATCCCCTCACCACCATGCCCTGTCGCTGAAGTGTAGCTGTAGACATCCGCTGTGAGATCATCACGCTGCATGAGCTTCAACAGGTGCAGGCTCAGCTCCCTGCGGTGGAGAGAAGCGCCCAGCATGCTAAGTGTTTCATTCTCTATTGAATATGTATATACGCCTTTCTCTTCACGCACATGTAACGTAAATGTAATCACATGACTAATCACATGTACTAGCTCTTGGATCTATGAATGTGTTGTCTGCGTCCATGCTTCCTATACATATGCCTTGTCAGGCAATACTACAATGCACCTTGAACCCCTCATTGTCCAGTCTCCGGATGTGCTCACAGGAAAGAAAAACTCAACTGCCAAGTGATCAAGGGGCCACTGCCCGGAGATGCTGCACGCACTGATGGCTGAATTCCACGTAACCTTGGATGTGATAGAATACCATGCAACGAGGTGACGTGTTTCAGGTGTTGCAATTGGTAACAAATATATCATCATGTGGATGAGAACTACACTATCTAGGCCCCCCCGCTCCCGCATCTGATGGGCACATCCAAAAAAGAAAGCACCTCTCTTGTCCTCCTCTCATCATTCGAGCTTGCAAGATATAAAACACGCACAAAGCTCCAACATACCTCATCTTGTCTGGGAATGGCAAGGCGCTACATTTGCCTGCAGCCTCTGATTGCGCAGCTCGTGCAAGAGCGCTAATGCACCCACCCATTGCCCTCCTGGATTAGACTGGTCTTCGGTCAAGAACTGATTGATGAACCATGAACTTCTTTCAAGTACCATGCAGTAACTGGTCAATATGCAGTTCCGTCTCATTCAGTATCATATTGTTTATTCAATAGATTGCACAGGCACACCAGGGGTGTCACTGTCTCACTGGGCTTCTCCTGCTTCACACGCTGCAATTGCAGCGCTGAAGCTGACAATGCTGGCTTCCAAGTGGCTCTCCTCCAAACGAGCCCGACACAGCCAAACAGCTAAGTTGATACACGGCTGTTGCTGCACGGATAGGGTGTTCGTGCGGTTTGTGGCTCAATGTCCACACAGTAAGCTGATCTCAGCATCACTGCCCCTAGCGCTTTAATTTGCATCATTGTTTGGGAGGCTTGACCATGTGCTTGACCTACTATGTAAGATCGACTGAAAGAACCCGCCTCTAATATCATCTACTGTAATATCTATGCCTATCTGGGGTGTAATTATTCGGTGCACCGTTCGAGTCGGCCACTACAAAAAAAAGAAGCCTGAGCTGCTTGCAGCAAAGCCCAAGAGATCTGCCACTGCTGACCTTTCCCACAAGCACCTGGGCACAAATATAGTCAAACACGGTGCACGAGGTGGATTCCTTGCATCGTTTCCCACACTTGTTGGAGAAGCTCTCAACACCTGTGCATCTATGGAAACGGGAACATGATGGGCCAATGCATCTCACAGTCCTTGGAACAAACTTCTGTTTCACTTTGAGAAGGGGCACTTTTCCTGTCTCTCTTTCCATGGAGGAAGGGTGCCCTAGCCCACCACATCCTTGCTTTCTTTGAGGCTGCGACTGAGTGCCGCATTGAAGGTAATGATGCTGGCCTGCGCAGTGTGGAAGCCTTTCTGGAACCACGGCCAAATCGCATGAGCAGCTGAAGAGACACATTGAGAGTCATCCTAAAGAATAAACAGCAAATACAACAATCCAACCCTGTTGCTGAGGTGCTCAGATCCACTGTCTTCACACAGTGAGCCTGCACGGTTTGCAAAGCTTCCTGCAGTATTTCAAGGGCCAACTGCCATTGACCCCCTTTCTCACAGGCGCTGATCGTGGCATTGAAAGTGATCACCTGAGCCGGGCCGCCAGGCATCCAGTGACAGGCGCGAGGAGTTCAATTACTGTACAGCTCTTGGGGCAAAGTCCCACCTGCTTGCTTCATTAGGCCAGTAGCCCATCCCAAAGCTTTCAACACATCTTAAATTGGCAAAGACTTCTGACGGGTTGCATCCATGAGCAGCTTCCGCTCGTGAAGCTCTTTCAGCAGAATGAAGGCCTCAAAGGGCCTAATTTGTCCTTCTGCCATGGAAATCGAAGAATGTGACTTGATTCAGGTGGTGGGCCCCTCTTAACGCGGAACTACACTGGCTGCTGTGTACACGCACCAATGATTCATTATCTGACATGCAATTGCTTTGTATTTGTAATGCCTTGGAAGAAACACACACGTATATATATATATATATTTATATCTATTTATACAACCATAATCAATTATATATACACATAGACAAAGAGAGAGAGAGAGAGAGAGAGAGGCAGCCAAAAAGGGAGGGAGATTGAGAAAGAACATTAACGGGTAGGCCCGTGCAAACCCTCTAGTCTGAGGGTGCACTTGCTTAGGAGCACTGAGAAGGTCAGCGCTGTTGGGGTGGGAGGTTGTTACATTGTCAGCTACTTCCTGGTGCTGGGATTGAGGTTCACTCATGAACCAAAGAATTAGCAATGTATCCTAGAGAATTCCCAATCAGCAGCCATGCAAGCTGTAGAATCCACACTTTTTTTCCTCAACCTCAGCTCATATGTGATCTTTGGGTCTTTGAGGCAGCGCTAAGAATTGACAAATGACTCGCCAAATCGCAAAAGGGGAAGTGGTTTGCCAACATGTGGATCATCAGACCACCAGTGATTACTAATTACTAGTCTTGAATGTCCAAGTGTATAATTTTGGAATGCCAGGCCTATTGTACTTGGACCCAGTGATACTGTAGTTCAATTCCAAAAGTCATTATGCTTAACCAAAAAAAAAGTACAACAAATATAATATATATCTACAAAAAAAGCCCATATACAATAGTTATACAAGCAAAAAACAATGTAAAACAAAAACATGTTCAACCATGCTTGTTTTTTGTGCTGTGCAACATACATTTGGCCACGCAGTACATACTAAGCTAGATCACCACTATCATGTCCGCCATCTAAAACACTACTGCTCCAAGAGCGCTACCTTTGGCAGTGCTCCTAAGCAACTGGAACATGCTTAGAGGCACGTTTGCACAAGTCTAATTAAGGGGGGGCAAAACGTTTGCCGCATGATGAATCTGAGCCGCTTGGGTCCAAGCACCTCCCTTCTCACATGCGCTGATTGCAGAATTCAGGATGATGGTGTCCTTGGCAAATGAGGTTATATTTTCTCACGATGTCGCTTGATCAACGCTGAGACGGTGGACAGTGGTTCCCAGGCTCCTGGGGAACGTGACTTCAAGGCAAAGATTGGATATGGCCCTCTGGTGATCATAGTATGTCATAGTCACCGAATACCGTCAGTACTTTGCCAAGAGTCAGAACGTCGTAAAGTCTTGTGCACCCACTCTTCTGTGAACGTCAGCGAACTCACTCAAAACTGATTCAAAGGATGCTCTGCCCTCCAACCTAATGGCAATGGCCTCCAACCTATTGGCGATGGCCTCCAGCGTGGACTCACTCTTGAACATCCTAAGACTTATGCTCAAGTCTCCGCATTTTGGTGGCTCCGATCCACTTCAGCCAGCAGCTGCATGGCTTCGCTCCACGCTCCACCTACAAACGTCTCAACCCAAAAGAAAGCAAATGCTGCATGCGACCACCTTCCTACAAAAAATGCTAGAGTTATATATCGTCATCTGTGGCTTTGCCCTGACTTGTCTCCCATCCTATAGAACATGCTCTGCGTCTTTCGACGGCACCATTGTTGACCAATGCTTAGATTTGTTTAGTTCAGCATTCTTGAGTGAGGGTTCAAACATCAAGCAATTGGTCAATCACGCGATCCTATTACTCTATTCAAAACAGTGGCACACTCAACTTCAGGTCCACTGCTTGAGGCACTAGTGATATTATCATACGATGTTGTCGTTCTTTGACTCAAGTTGGAAACTGGGCGTAATACATAGTGCTGCATTTGGTTGGTGCTGCCTGACTCGTGCATGCACGTTTACTCTCTCCCATTCAGCCCACTACGACCTCCAATAACAAGAGTCTTGGACGAGCAAAGTTGCACACAAAGGCAAAGTTGTGAGATTGTGCAAGGTGACAATTTGGGTTTGACGGGAGCATACGGGAGCTATATAAGGAGAGCCCACAAGAACAAAACAAAACCTGAGACAAAGCCAAGCCGGGTCAAGTGTGGAGAGCTCCGCAAGAAAAGTTACGATTTCCACGGCATCCCATTCAAAGCCTAGACTCAATGGAAGCATCCGATACTCGGTTCCTCTAGTGCTTGTCACTCAAAAAATCAACAGGCGCGCACACACTCCAACACGAATCTAAACTGCGAATTGCACAGCTGAACGTCCAAATTGCGATCCATCTTGCAGTTCTCCTTGAATTCTTCTATCCATGTTTTTCTATGTTCTTCTGTGCTCCTTCCCCACTTCAAACACCAGCCCCGGCCTTTCTCGCAAGCACTGATGGTGACGCTGTAAGTGATAAGGTTCCTTTCCAGCTGCCTCCTGTGCATTGACTGCAGCAGTGCCAGAGCCTCCAAGGTTTGAAAAGAGAAAGACAGGTCATTCAGGCCTTTGACCATGACAGAGTGCCTGCTCCCACTGGCCACCATGTGCACACGCATTGATGGCCGCAGAGTAGTTGATGTGGTTTGGCTGCAGCCAACAGTGATCTGCAGCATAAAGAAGTTGCCTTCGTGGGCGAGCTTTGGCACATGCGTCGATGTTGATTAAGCACGTAGTGTCAAACAAGCATCATGACCTGGATGCAAATAGGAATAGGGCAAACATGCAATTGATAATGCACGAGCACACCATATCAAACACACAGGGTACCCTTCAAAAAGCAAACAGGAGCTTGCTGAGAAGTGACAGTGCTTTGGCCCACTGCGCACTTCTGCCACAGTGTGCGATTGACTTGCTCAGCTCCTGACCCCAAAGAGAAACAGAACAGGCTACCACCAGCGTGCGCAAAACAGTGTCTTTGTGAGCATCTGTCAGCTGTGAGCATCTGTGAGCATCTGCTTACAATCAATGCAACTCACAAAAAACGATAGAAAACCTCAAACAGAACAAAACTTCAAAAACCTTGGAAAAAAAACTGCAGACCCCATGAACCATCCCAAAACTTCAGACATAGGGTGTGCAGTTTTTTTGGAGGTTCTGAAGAAAACCAAAAATACACAACTGCAAACTGGGGGTGTGATCACAGATTGGAAGAAACACTACTAGAATTATATTAGACTTAAACATAGGCTGCATGGAAATTAAATTGAAAACAGGAGTTAGAATTAGGTTTGAATTCCAAATAACATAAATAAACTATATATGGAATGTAGTAAATATCAAAATTCAATTGAATGATATCTGAACTACAATTAACATCGAATCCCAATAGAATTAAATCAAATTGAATTAAATTACAATTGAATTAGATCGTCGATCGTTTAGGATTTGCAACTCTTTACCTTCTGACTCTGATGTACTTATCAAATTGCATTCAATAAGAGCAATTTTGCATAGGATTTGCATGGAACTGAATTACATGCAAGTTTTTAAGTAAATACTTAATTCAATTGTTTTATACATAGGTAAACAAACAACTACTTACCAGCTACAAATAATGCAAAACGTTACAACATCACAACTTTCACAACTCCACCCCCTATTTAATTTTATTGCATCTTTATACAGTATTGTTCCTCCTATGCTATATATGTTGCTGTATTGAATATAAATGACTCCCTTAAAAAGCGCACGCTCACAGTGGCCAGCTCTCAAGAGAAACTGGCAACCACTGGTATCAAATAAAGACCCAATTACGTATTCAAAGCACCTTGGGATGCTTGCATGACTTGCTACAAACTTCATGACTTACAAGTCATTCTGTGCCTGCCCAAACTTCTCAAGTCAAGCCTTAGCGCAGCTCTCTGCACTTGCATGTGCAGTGACAAAAGGAACCAGTGGCTTGGCCATCTAAACTGGTTTAACGTGAAATCAATAGTGTTGTATCAATTTTAGAGCACAACTATAACCAATCTATTATCAGTTAAGTGCGTGTTTATGTAAATAGTATATGTACATATATACACATTTACATGTCTTAATACACTATTTAGGGGGTCCTCAGTCCCCACCCAGAGTGTGTCATGTGTCAGAGCCTGATGTTTTGCAGCAGGGCGTTCGAGGGCGAAGCACCCCATGCGCCATGACGCCCGAAATCACGTCCAGATCTTTCAGTCACGTCGATGACCCGAAAAATGTCCAAGGAAGCAAGTCCATCGCAAGACCTCTGAGCGTCCATGCTTCTCGTCCGTCATCTGGTGTCAAGAATTCAACAGCTATATATAAAGTCTTCTAACATCCGTTGCTCGACTTGAGTCTGCACTCCTGCCGCAAAACAAATGGGATTGAGGGTGGCAGTCTCAAGATATGCAGCTAAGGACTGCAGAAGGTGTCCTCGTTGGGCCCAAAAGTCACTTGGATATCCTCGCCACTTTCCTGACCCCCTGGAATGGCAGGTCAATAGGAATTTACGCAAGTGCGCTTGCCAATTCAGCTTCTGCTTCAAACGATTGACGGTCCTTAAGGGAATCACCGTCCATCGTTTGAAGCATGCTAACACGTTGGGCGACTTCAAATAGAGGTGGTTTTTGTGGTTCTTTCATGTTCTTCGTGTGTGGTTTCTTCTTGTGAATGATAATTTCGAGCTCTACGCTGACATCCACAAGAACTTCATCATATTATATAGACGTTGAAAACTTTCGTAGGTGCCTTGTGTCCCTACCAAACTCTCCATGATCCTCGCACTCGCGATTTGAATCTTTGTTTTAAATACCTCGCACGGGCCTCAGAGTGTTCTGCAGAAAAAAAGAAGGTGTCTTCGTTAATCCCGTCACTCTTCTTGGGGCTAATAGCCAAAAACTGGATGCCGCCGCCCTGTTCCACCCTCTCGACTTGACGGGAGAGCATCTAAAACGACATTTCTTCATATGTGTCCATTTCAGACAGCATCTACGGCTTTTTCTTCACCCAGCCAATCATCATCAGTCGTCACTGCTTTCAACTTCAAGAAGAGTCTCCATATCTTCCTGCATCATCAGTCGCGGCCGCGCAAGAATGTCTATAATAACCAAGCGAGAGCAAATCAGCGATATATTGTGGTGACAGTCTTGCCGACCAAAAGCTTCAAGAACCTTTTAATAGCGATGGCCTCCAACCTACTAGCGATGGCCTCCGGCCTCCAACCTAATAGCTTCAAAAGCCTTTGCAAGGTAGCCGTCCTCTCCCAGGAGTTGCCACATTTCTGGTTGTTCCAGAAGAGCCTTCTCCAAGTCTTCCTGGCGTTCGCACAAGGCCTGCCAGGAAAGCGGGATCGGGCAATTTTGTAGGCTTGGATTCCAGGATGATGCCTCCAGGCAAACTTATCTCTGATCCACTGATTGGGGGTATTGCGCAAACTCGATGCCATGCCAAGGATCTATTTATGCATTCATTATCACTTCTTTGCTGCGTTGGCAGATCGAATCAAAACTACCGACAGGTCCAAGGAAAATGAACTGAGGGAGGAAGCAGTGAAAGGCTCCCAAAAAGTGTGTACAGTCAAATGCATTGACAAAACAAAACGGATCAATTGAACTTTCTGATGTTCATTCTGAGCCAACAAAGGCCCCAAACAAGCAAAGCTCTGGCATCTTATCTGAACTCCCTCTGGCTCTGATGTTCTCAATCACCACTCAATACAAGCTCTGGTGGTAGAGAAGGGAGTCAACAAAAATGTCACACCCTTGTTGCTGTTGGCACCAGCTGGCAGCCAACTTTACTTGTAAGTGTCAACGTTTCACTCTCTGATGAACGACGATGCTTTCAGCAAGGTGTAAATCCCATGGCCTCAAACATCATAAGGAACATAGCAACAGCACAAATTTGGTTGTCCAGCAGGATTCTGGCCTTGTCCTGGCATCATGAGGGTGTGATTTCACATGTGCACAAGCCGGATGGTCGAGCCAAATTTGACATCAATTCATTAATTAAGCATGCACTTGGAGGAAAATAGTTAGGTTGAGGGTGGTTGGGGATGTTATTTGCACTTGTGTGCTTCCGGTGAGTCAACATCGGGTGCAAATCATGCAGTTCAAAGTGGAGGTATGCATGCCGCCTTGAGAATCTTTATTGGACTAACTGACATCATTCAGACATTGAAATGTCTTGCCCGGTTCTCAATGTTTCACATTCTCAATTGCGATCTCTCCTGCAGTGTCAAACTGGGCTGTATCTCCGCCATTATCTTCGGGACTGCATCTGCCTTGGGTTCACGGTTGTAGTCACATGAGTTGGCCTTCCCAGGGTTCTGAGAAGAAAGGCCGGGGACTCTGCTGGACGCTGCGAAGCCAAAAGGCCACCCCTGCCCCTAATAGCCAATAGTTTTGCAAGCGCATGCACCGAGTGGCATCATGGTTCCCCTCGGCATCTACGCCCGAGAGCTAGCCACCGGTAAAACATAATCCGGCCACTATCATGTTGCAGCACTTTCTGCCAAGATGCAGGTGGACTATGGCTCAGCATCTTCTCTTGCATCTCAATCAGCTGAGGATCTTGGTAGAGAGTCCGAGCTCTCAACAGTTGGACAGTTGGAGGAACGATCCAAGAATAGAATGGACACCAAGAATATCTTGAGATATCTCAAGCCCTACATATATAGATATACATACATAATCAAATATATATATATATATGGTACCCCCCCCAAAAAAAAAAAAAAGGAACAACATTCATCAAATTTCCTGGTATTTACAGTGTTTATTCATATTTTTTTGATATAAACAATTAACAAAAACAGTGCACTTTACAATGGCAACCAGCAACAAAACAACAAACCAAAACAACCAAAAAGACGTTGAAGAGAGTGTTTGGTTCAGCCTCAAAAAATGAAAGAAGGCTGGCTACAACCAAAAAACAATTTTGTGTTTTTGATGATTTGCTATGAGTACAACAAAATATACAATATCAAACACAATAATACCTTCTGTTTTGTTTTTGGCAGTGTGCTAGTACAATAAACCTGCAAAACACAAAGATATGTTTTGGAGGCTTTTGGATTTCATAACCAAAAACCAAAAATCACAATAACAACAAAAAAAACATCTTTTGAGGCTGAACCAAACATTCTCCTCAAAGTTTTGTCTGTTTAATGTTTTTTTTGGTTTTGTCTGTGCTTTGGTCCTTTTGGTTTTTGCAGAACCTGTATATTTTTATTGGAAGTTGACTTAGGATTGAACTGAAATATAAACAAAATTTAATTGAAATGTAAAAGCTTCTTGTATTTCCAATGAGCTTGAAATTTAGATCTAAGTCAATTCTGTTTTGAATGCTTTACAATTTTAGCCATGAATTCATAACAATTGAGCTTTTATATAACTCTATTGAACTCTAACCTAATTACTATTTAACTCTAACTCAATTCAAAATTTAGAATTGCAAATTCGATTTTGAACCTGATTGAACCAAAAAGGAATCTATTGAAGCTAGTTTTCAATCTCCAAGTTGATCTTTATTCAGTTTAATTGAATTTGCAATCAATTCTAATTTAGTACCATTGTAAATGTCATTTAGTTTCTAATGCAATTCTCACCCAAGTCTAATTCTAATTCATGATTACAGCAACTGACTTCTAATCGAGCTGCAGGTCAAGCAATTCTATTTCAATCTTGGTTTAATTCCAATTCAAAAATAGGTTAAGTCTAATTTGCTTTTAACTTATCCCGAAGTTAGCGTTAATTTTTATAGTTGTATGTCAATTTAAATGTAGTTTATCATTCAAGTTATGTTGTAATTAACTTTTAGTTTCCGCTAGTTTAAATCGTATACAATAATTCAGCTTCAGTTGTGTACAAATCTGGTTTACTTATGGTTTTCCAAATTACTTTTGATTACTTCTAATTTAATTCTAATTCGTTTCTTCTTCAATGCAAAGTTAACAGTTAGTTCTAATTCAATGCCAATTGAAGTCGCATTTAATCCTGATTTTATTCTAGAGAGAGGGTTTTGCTCGGGATATGATTTTAAGAAAACAACCTTTAAGAAAGCAACACATAAATTATATACAAAGCTTTCTATTTAAAAGCAGCACGCACTCTCTAGAAGCAAATAGAATTGCAAAATAACCCACCTTTTTAAAACATATATTGGATTTTACTTTTCAAGCAATATAGATAATTCAAGCAAATTAAACAACAATTCAACTAAAATTCCTGTAAACATATATTGTATAGAACTTTTTGAGGTCAAACTAGAACAAACTATGAACAAACTGTAAAACGCATTTCATTACGCCTATGTTTACAACATTTCTTTAAAAGAACCAAAAACAAACTAGCTTCATTTTAAGCATACTTGATTTAGAAAAAGCAAGCTAGTTACACACGATTAAAGCAAAACAACGGCATAAATTTATGGGCTTTGCAATTTTGATATTACGGTATTGTGGGTTACCAAAACTGCACAGCCCTATGTCTCCAAAGTGGCTTAGGGCACTGCAGTTTTGATATTTTGGTATGTTGGTTTTAGAGGGAAAACCAACGTAACAAAGGACCAAAACTGCACAGAGCAATGTCCCCAGAGTGGCTGAGGTCAAGCCATGGGGCTTGTGCAGTTTGATAATTTTTGTATTTAGGTTTTGAGAGAGAACCAAAGTACCAAAACTAAAGACCCCATGGCCTAAAGTACCAAAGTACCAAAACTGCAGACCTCATGACCTCAAGTACCAAAACTGCAGACCCGATGACCTCAAGTACCAAAGTTCCAAAACTGCAGACCCCATGACCTGACCATAGCCAGTGTGGGACATAGGTCTGTGCAGTTTTGGATCTTTGGAACTTTGCTACTTTTGTAGTCGAGATAATCTAAAAGCAAGCGGTTTTTTTTTGGGGGGGCTAGCATATATATATATATATATTTATGATAGTGTGCGCGCGAGTGTGTGTGTGTGTGGACACCTGCAAAAATCCGAGAGTCTATGAAGTCTCCAAACAACATTCGGGCATACAGTAGTACACAAATGGGCTAGAAAGCTGCCCTTTGGGGCACACTCTTTCACTCTGTCTGTTTTAGGCGATTGCTTTAGGATGTTTTAGGTATCTTGCATGAAGGTCCTTTGTTTCCGTCTTTGACGAGCAGCTTCTCTCATCATAGTAAGTCTGACACA